AGAGCTAAATATAGACAATAAATCTACTAAAGATTATTTACACATACTCTATAGCAGTCGGAAAATTTGCCAATTTTTGTCTTGTCTCACCGGATTGAAAGCTATTTTATGAGGAGCAGTGAGAAGCATTTGGGATATGGACACAAGCAGTAAGTAGCAATTGCACATATCAGTAGAAACATTAGAAGGCAATTAGCCAAGTCAACCAAGCATTTGATAGTAACTGGCAATATGTGTTATGCCTATGATATACATCTGGCATTATGCCCATGGCTTACAACTGGCAATGACTTCAATGCATTTTTAAAAACAATTGGCATGCAGTTTTGTATAGCAAATCCTGATTGGTTTGTTTTTTTCGAAAAAAATTTATACTGACCACAGGAAGGAATCTGGAGGAATTATACTTACCATTTTTTCGCCTTTTTTTGTATTTACAGTGCATGAGAGATTGGTGATGTCCCTGAGAGAGGTGGCTGCTCTGCAACTTAGCAATGAGGAAGCCAGCCTTATGAATGTTGGCTTTAGAACTAGGAGAACTCAGAGAACTCACCTAAGATTCACTGACAGTGGAAGAGCAACACCCTTCAGTAGTTCTGCCACACCTGAAGACAGTGAGGATGAGCACCTAAGAAAGGCAAGTACCTCTAAACACTGCCTGAGGTTAAATAGTGAAGAGGAGGCGGAGGACTCCCCAATTGAGATTGAAAGGCCAATCACTGACAAAGATGAAAATCTGAACGTTCCTGATTCGATGAAGGAAAGTGATATGGCAAATATAGTGGTAGAGAAGGCCAATGATAAATTAGAGGACATGGATGTAGATAGTAGTGATGAGGTTGATGGAAATGAACCAATAAAAGATGTAGCAGTGACTGACAATGAGGCTGGGGAAAATGAGAGGCAAAATGAGGGTGACATGACAGTAGGAACAGGTGACAGTGAGGGTGAGGATATTGTTGAGGAACAGATACCTGTCAGAGCTATGGATGATAGGGAAGAAACTGACAGTTTAGATGATGAACAGTCAGTGGAGGAATCAGAAGAAAGTGACCACTGTTTTCCCTCCTCATCTGGAGAGGAATTGGAATCAGATGAAGATCCATTTGAAGGACTTAGTGCTAGATCAAGAAAGAGACTGAGACCTAGTATAAATGTAAAAAGAATAGAGGAAACATGGAAAAAACCAGAGAAATATGAAGAGCCAACTGAATACTCTGGTGACAGTTCTGATAGTGAGAATGATGAAGGGTGGTCATCACATCTAAGGAGACACAGACGGTCACAGGAATTTACTGGAAACCCACCAGGACCCAATGTTAGCCTGGATGAAAATGTCAGTCCCCTGGAGGCATTTTACACAATATTTCCTCACTCCTTGATAAAAAAACTACGGCGTGAGACAAATAAATATGCCAGATGGAGTCAGGCCAAAAAACGGAAAACAGATAAATACTGGCGTGAAGTAAATGATGTTGAGATGAAGGCATTCCTGGGTATCCTTATTCTAATGGGATCAGACCCCAAAATGGAAATTGGAGATTACTGGTCCAACCAGACTGCTTTGAGAAATGAATTTATTGCTGGCACCATGAGCAGAAATCGTTACCACAAAATCATGCAATATTTTCATTGTAACAATCCTGAAAATGATCCTGCAAATATCAGTGACCCGATAGAACGCAGAATTGAAAAAGATCGCAACCCTATGTACAAAGTCGCTCCAATACTGGACAAAATTATGGAACAATCTGTAAAGTCATATCACCTGCACCAACAGGTTGTTATAGATGAGGCCATTATTGGTTATAAGGGCAGTAAAGGGGGTATCCCAAGCGTCTTCATAATTTCCAAACCTAGGTCTAAGGGGTTTAAAGTTTACGTTCTTGCTGATGCAGTATCAAACTATGTAAACTGCATCAGATTTATGACAAGAGGAGCTATACCGAATAGAAGAGGTGACAGTAAGACCCTGGAGTTAGTTGTGGATATGGTCAGTCATATCAGTGGATTCAACCATATTCTATACACGGACAATTATTACACCAGTCCTGAATTGGCAGTGACCCTGCTGAACCAACATCACATGTTTCTTACTGGTAGTGTACGTCCAACAAGGAAGGGAATGCCAACCAGTCTAAGTGCTAATGAAAAAAACAACCCTGCCAGTAAGAAAATAAAAGCTCTGGAAAGGGGGCAGTTTGCCTCAAGGCAGAAGGGAGAAATGGTAGTAATTGTTTGGAAGGATTCCAAACTGTTCACAGTGCTCACAACTTGCAAAGAGGGGTTCAGGATAAATGGAGAGAGAGTGGTGAGACATGTGAAAGACAAAACCACCAAGAAGAGAAATACATACACACTTCCAGCACCAAATGTAATAGATAACTATAATGAATATATGGGTGGCGTTGACAGGGCGAATCAGTTGAGGTCCTACTACACCTCACAACGGCAAACCCACAAGTGGTGGAAATATATATTTTTCTACTTGTTGGATACAGTCTTGACAAACAGCTGGATCATATTTAAAGAGATAACCAACTCCAAATTGACACACAAGTCATTCCAAGTTCAGATCGGTGTTTCCCTAGTTGGTGGTTTTTCATCACGAAAGAAAGTACTTGTGACTTCCTAGCCTACAATAGACAGCTACAAGGGACACACACTCATTCAAGGCAAAGGGCATGGCCAATGTTGTAGGCTCTGTATACAACTCAAGAGAAGAACAAGATCCGGAGGGTATCGCAAAAGTAGCTACAAGTGTCGTGAATGTGGCATTAGCCTGTGCAGGGACTGTTTTCTGCCCTATCATCACATAGCAACTGGAAAGGCAACATTGTGTAAAGAAACACAGTATGATGCTGGGGACCAGAATGAAGCCAGACAATTATGGCACACCAGCCAACCAAGAGGAAGGGAAAGAGGAAGGGAAAGAGGAAGGGGAAGAGGAAGGGGAAGGGGAAGGGGAAGACAAGCCAGAAAATAAAGAGGAAGACATTGCGTTCTGTAGTATAGTTTAGTTAGGGTGTTTGTGTAAGCCCTACTGCCAGAGAACTCTAACTGACCATGCATGTTTTGTTTTCTTATTTGCAGGAATAAGAAAGAAAAGACATTATATAATTATTTAGAATTGTATACAGTAGTTTAGGTTAGATTTTTTTAAATCTAGACCAAATAGGATTTACTATACAATACTCCTTGCCAATTGTCATAAAATGTTGCATTGACTCAGCCAATTTTTATACAATACCAATTACATGACATCAGTTATCAAATACTGTTTGTGTGTATGGATATAATTGTACAATAATGCATTTGCAAGACACACCAACAATTATAAGTGTGCCTACAAACCTCTGCAGTTGTTAGTTTGTGTTACTGTGGCATATTGCACATGTTACTAAGTACTACTTGTACTTGTCCCAGTTGTTACTGAGTGGCCTTGTGGACTGCCGGCCAGTTGTTACTGAATGCTTCAGTTAGAATGGAATGTTACTCGACCTATCAGTTATCAAGAGCAGTGAGTAGCAATTGGGAAGATAAGCCTACGACCCTTTGGGAAATAGAGAACTTACTAAGAATACTATTTGAGGGAAAAATACAAGTCATGTTACTCTCTCACTCTTCCTCATATAGTGCTCTATTTTATCCTGTTGTCATGTCTCCTGGGTCAAATACCATGGTTACAAAAATCAATAGAACAGTAGACATGATGCTGGGAGAGAATGGAATACTATTTGAGGGAAAAATACAAGTCATGTGACTCTCACTCTCCGTCATATAGTGCTCTATTTTATCCCTTTGTTATGTCTCCTGTGTCAAATACCATGGTTACAATGATCAATAGAACAGTAGACATGATGCTGGGGGAGAATGGAATACTATTTCCCAATGACAATTAGTGCCTACCGAAAAACAGTTTGTTGTTGTGCTAGCTATCTTCCCAAATGCTCTGAGTGCCTTTTGCTGTGCTAAGGTTATTCTCCCAGTTGTTATTTAGTGCTAAGTTACAAACAGGAAACTCAAACCCCCCCATGGGGTCATGTATCACTTTACAGTGCCAGGCACTGACAGTGTCCTTGAAGAGCTAAATATAGACAATAAATCTACTAAAGATTATTTACACATACTCTATAGCAGTCGGAAAATTTGCCAATTTTTGTCTTGTCTCACCGGATTGAAAGCTATTTTATGAGGAGCAGTGAGAAGCATTTGGGATATGGACACAAGCAGTAAGTAGCAATTGCACATATCAGTAGAAACATTAGAAGGCAATTAGCCAAGTCAACCAAGCATTTGATAGTAACTGGCAATATGTGTTATGCATATGATATACATCTGGCATTATGCCCATGGCTTACAACTGGCAATGACTTCAATGCATTTTTAAAAACAATTGGCATGCAGTTTTGTATAGCAAATCCTGATTGGGTTTTTTTTTCGAAAAAAATTTATACTGACCACAGGAAGGAATCTGGAGGAATTATACTTACCATTTTTTCGCCTTTTTTTGTATTTACAGTGCATGAGAGATTGGTGATGTCCCTGAGAGAGGTGGCTGCTCTGCAACTTAGCAATGAGGAAGCCAGCCTTATGAATGTTGGCTTTAGAACTAGGAGAACTCAGAGAACTCACCTAAGATTCACTGACAGTGGAAGAGCAACACCCTTCAGTAGTTCTGCCACACCTGAAGACAGTGAGGATGAGCACCTAAGAAAGGCAAGTACCTCTAAACACTGCCTGAGGTTAAATAGTGAAGAGGAGGCGGAGGACTCCCCAATTGAGATTGAAAGGCCAATCACTGACAAAGATGAAAATCTGAACGTTCCTGATTCGATGAAGGAAAGTGATATGGCAAATATAGTGGTAGAGAAGGCCAATGATAAATTAGAGGACATGGATGTAGATAGTAGTGATGAGGTTGATGGAAATGAACCAATAAAAGATGTAGCAGTGACTGACAATGAGGCTGGGGAAAATGAGAGGCAAATGAGGGTGACATGACAGTAGGAACAGGTGACAGTGAGGGTGAGGATATTGTTGAGGAACAGATACCTGTCAGAGCTATGGATGATAGGGAAGAAACTGACAGTTTAGATGATGAACAGTCAGTGGAGGAATCAGAAGAAAGTGACCACTGTTTTCCCTCCTCATCTGGAGAGGAATTGGAATCAGATGAAGATCCATTTGAAGGACTTAGTGCTAGATCAAGAAAGAGACTGAGACCTAGTATAAATGTAAAAAGAATAGAGGAAACATGGAAAAAACCAGAGAAATATGAAGAGCCAACTGAATACTTTGGTGACAGTTCTGATAGTGAGAATGATGAAGGGTGGTCATCACATCTAAGGAGACACAGACGGTCACAGGAATTTACTGGAAACATACCAGGACCCAATGTTAGCCTGGATGAAAATGTCAGTCCCCTGGAGGCATTTTACACAATATTTCCTCACTCCTTGATAAAAAAACTACGGCGTGAGACAAATAAATATGCCAGATGGAGTCAGGCCAAAAAACGGAAAACAGATAAATACTGGCGTGAAGTAAATGATGTTGAGATGAAGGCATTCCTGGGTGTCCTTATTCTAATGGGATCAGACCCCAAAATGGAAATTGGAGATTACTGGTCCAACCAGACTGCTTTGAGAAATGAATTTATTGCTGGCACCATGAGCAGAAATCGTTACCACAAAATCATGCAATATTTTCATTGTAACAATCCTGAAAATGATCCTGCAAATATCAGTGACCCGATAAAACGCAGAATTGAAAAAGATCGCAACCCTATGTACAAAGTCGCTCCAATACTGGACAAAATTATGGAACAATCTGTAAAGTCATATCACCTGCACCAACAGGTTGTTATAGATGAGGCCATTATTGGTTATAAGGGCAGTAAAGGGGGTATCCCAAGCGTCTTCATAATTTCCAAACCTAGGTCTAAGGGGTTTAAAGTTTACGTTCTTGCTGATGCAGTATCAAACTATGTAAACTGCATCAGATTTATGACAAGAGGAGCTATACCGAATAGAAGAGGTGACAGTAAGACCCTGGAGTTAGTTGTGGATATGGTCAGTCATATCAGTGGATTCAACTATATTCTATACACGGACAATTATTACACCAGTCCTGAATTGGCAGTGACCCTGCTGAACCAACATCACATGTTTCTTACTGGTAGTGTACGTCCAACAAGGAAGGGAATGCCAACCAGTCTAAGTGCTAATGAAAAAAACAACCCTGCCAGTAAGAAAATAAAAGCCCTGGAAAGGGGGCAGTTTGCCTCAAGGCAGAAGGGAGAAATGGTAGTAATTGTTTGGAAGGATTCCAAACTGTTCACAGTGCTCACAACTTGCAAAGAGGGGTTCAGGATAAATGGAGAGAGAGTGGTGAGACATGTGAAAGACAAAACCACCAAGAAGAGAAATACATACACACTTCCAGCACCAAATGTAATAGATAACTATAATGAATATATGGGTGGCGTTGACAGGGCGAATCAGTTGAGGTCCTACTACACCTCACAACGGCAAACCCACAAGTGGTGGAAATATATATTTTTCTACTTGTTGGATACAGTCTTGACAAACAGCTGGATCATATTTAAAGAGATAACCAACTCCAAATTGACACACAAGTCATTCCAAGTTCAGATCGGTGTTTCCCTAGTTGGTGGTTTTTCATCACGAAAGAAAGTACTTGTGACTTCCCAGCCTACAATAGACAGCTACAAGGGACACACACTCATTCAAGGCAAAGGGCATGGCCAATGTTGTAGGCTCTGTATACAACTCAAGAGAAGAACAAGATCCGGAGGGTATCGCAAAAGTAGCTACAAGTGTCGTGAATGTGGCATTAGCCTGTGCAGGGACTGTTTTCTGCCCTATCATCACATAGCAACTGGAAAGGCAACATTGTGTAAAGAAACACAGTATGATGCTGGGGACCAGAATGAAGCCAGACAATTATGGCACACCAGCCAACCAAGAGGAAGGGAAAGAGGAAGGGGAAGAGGAAGGGGAAGGGGAAGGGGAAGACAAGCCAGAAAATAAAGAGGAAGACAATGCGTTCTGTAGTATAGTTTAGTTAGGGTGTTTGTGTAAGCCCTACTGCCAGAGAACTCTAACTGACCATGCATGTTTTGTTTTCTTATTTGCAGGAATAAGAAAGAAAAGACATATAATTATTTAGAATTGTATACAGTAGTTTAGGTTAGATTTTTTTAAATCTAGACCAAATAGGATTTACTATACAATACTCCTTGCCAATTGTCATAAAATGTTGCATTGACTCAGCCAATTTTTATACAATACCAATTACATGACATCAGTTATCAAATACTGTTTGTGTGTATGGATATAATTGTACAATAATGCATTTGCAAGACACACCAACAATTATAAGTGTGCCTACAAACCTCTGCAGTTGTTAGTTTGTGTTACTGTGGCATATTGCACATGTTACTAAGTACTACGTACTTGTCCCAGTTGTTACTGAGTGGCCTTGTGGACTGCCGGCCAGTTGTTACTGAATGCTTCAGTTAGAATGGAATGTTACTCGACCTATCAGTTATCAAGAGCAGTGAGTAGCAATTGGGAAGATAAGCCTACGACCCTTTGGGAAATAGAGAATTAGCTAATTAGCTAAGAATACTATTTGAGGGAAAAATACAAGTCATGTTAATCTCTCACTCTTCCTCATATAGTGCTCTATTTTATCCTGTTGTCATGTCTCCTGTGTCAAATACCATGGTTACAAAAATCAATAGAACAGTAGACATGATGCTGGGAGAGAATGGAATACTATTTGAGGGAAAAATACAAGTCATGTGACTCTCACTCTCCGTCATATAGTGCTCTATGTTATCCCTTTGTTATGTCTCCTGTGTCAAATACCATGGTTACAAAGATCAATAGAACAGTAGACATGATGCTGGGGGAGAATGGAATACTATTTGAGTAAAAAATACAAGTCATGTGACTCTCTCACTCTCCCTCATATAGTGCTCTATTTTATCCTGTTGTTATGTCTCCTGTGTCAAATACCATGGTTACAAAGATCAATAGAACAGTAGACATGATGCTGGGAGAGAACGGAATACTATTTGAGGGAAAAATACAAGTCATGTGACTCTCTCACTCTCCCTCATATAGTGCTCTATTTTATCCTGTTGTCATGTCTCCTGTGTCAAATACCATGGTTACAAAGATCAATAGAACAGTAGACATGATGCTGGGGGAGAATGGAATACTATTTGAGTAAAAAATACAAGTCATGTGACTCTCTCACTCTCCCTCATATAGTGCTCTATTTTATCCTGTTATGTCTCCTGTGTCAAATACCATGGTTACAAAGATCAATAGAACAGCAGACATGATGCTGGGAGAGAATGGAATACTATTTGAGTAAAAATACAAGTCATGTGACTCTCTCACTCTCCCTCATATAAGTGCTCTATTTTATCCCTTTGTCATGTCTCCTGGTCAATACCATGGTTACAAAGATCAATAGAACAGCAGACATGATGCTGGGAGAAGAATGGAATAACTATTTGAGGGTAAAATACGAGTCATGTGACTTTCCCTCATATAGTGCTCTATTTTATCCTGTGTCATGTCTCCTGTGTCAAATACCATGGTTACAAAGATCAATAGAACAGCAGACATGATGCTGGGAGAGAATGGAATACTATTTGAGGGAAAAATACAAGTCATGTGACTCTCTCACTCTCCCTCATATAGTGCTCTATTTTATCCCTTTGTCATGTCTCCTGTGTCAAATACCATGGTTACAAAGATCAAAAGAACAGTAGACATGATGCTGGGGGAGAATGGAATACTATTTCCCAATTGACAATTAGTGCCTACCGAAAAACAGTTTGTGTTGTGCTAGCCTTATCTTCCCAAATGCTCCTGAGTGCCTTTTGCTGTGCTAAGGTTATTCTCCCAGTTGTTATTTAGTGCTAAGTTACAAACAGGAAACTCAAATCCCCCATGGGGTCATGTATCACTTTACAGTGCCAGGCACTGACAGTGTCCTTGAAGAGCTAAATATAGACAATAAATCTACTAAAGATTATTTACACATACTCTATAGCAGTCGGAAAATTTGCCAATTTTTGTCTTGTCTCACCGGATTGAAAGCTATTTTATGAGGAGCAGTGAGAAGCATTTGGGATATGGACACAAGCAGTAAGTAGCAATTGCACATATCAGTAGAAACATTAGAAGGCAATTAGCCAAGTCAACCAAGCATTTGATAGTAACTGGCAATATGTGTTATGCCTATGATATACATCTGGCATTATGCCCATGGCTTACAACTGGCAATGACTTCAATGCATTTTTAAAAACAATTGGCATGCAGTTTTGTATAGCAAATCCTGATTGGGTTTTTTTTTTCGAAAAAAAATTATACTGACCACAGGAAGGAATCTGGAGGAATTATACTTACCATTTTTTCGCCTTTTTTTGTATTTACAGTGCATGAGAGATTGGTGATGTCCCTGAGAGAGGTGGCTGCTCTGCAACTTAGCAATGAGGAAGCCAGCCTTATGAATGTTGGCTTTAGAACTAGGAGAACTCAGAGAACTCACCTAAGATTCACTGACAGTGGAAGAGCAACACCCTTCAGTAGTTCTGCCACATCTGAAGACAGTGAGGATGAGCACCTAAGAAAGGCAAGTACCTCTAAACACTGCCTGAGGTTAAATAGTGAAGAGGAGGCGGAGGACTCCCCAATTGAGATTGAAAGGCCAATCACTGACAAAGATGAAAATCTGAACGTTCCTGATTCGATGAAGGAAAGTGATATGGCAAATATAGTGGTAGAGAAGGCCAATGATAAATTAGAGGACATGGATGTAGATAGTAGTGATGAGGTTGATGGAAATGAACCAATAAAAGATGTAGCAGTGACTGACAATGAGGCTGGGGAAAATGAGAGGCAAAATGAGGGTGACATGACAGTAGGAACAGGTGACAGTGAGGGTGAGGATATTGTTGAGGAACAGATACCTGTCAGAGCTATGGATGATAGGGAAGAAACTGACAGTTTAGATGATGAACAGTCAGTGGAGGAATCAGAAGAAAGTGACCACTGTTTTCCCTCCTCATCTGGAGAGGAATTGGAATCAGATGAAGATCCATTTGAAGGACTTAGTGCTAGATCAAGAAAGAGACTGAGACCTAGTATAAATGTAAAAAGAATAGAGGAAACATGGAAAAAACCAGAGAAATATGAAGAGCCAACTGAATACTTTGGTGACAGTTCTGATAGTGAGAATGATGAAGGGTGGTCATCACATCTAAGGAGACACAGACGGTCACAGGAATTTACTGGAAACCCACCAGGACCCAATGTTAGCCTGGATGAAAATGTCAGTCCCCTGGAGGCATTTTACACAATATTTCCTCACTCCTTGATAAAAAAACTACGGCGTGAGACAAATAAATATGCCAGATGGAGTCAGGCCAAAAAACGGAAAACAGATAAATACTGGCGTGAAGTAAATGATGTTGAGATGAAGGCATTCCTGGGTGTCCTTATTCTAATGGGATCAGACCCCAAAATGGAAATTGGAGATTACTGGTCCAACCAGACTGCTTTGAGAAATGAATTTATTGCTGGCACCATGAGCAGAAATCGTTACCACAAAATCATGCAATATTTTCATTGTAACAATCCTGAAAATGATCCTGCAAATATCAGTGACCCGATAGAACGCAGAATTGAAAAAGATCGCAACCCTATGTACAAAGTCGCTCCAATACTGGACAAAATTATGGAACAATCTGTAAAGTCATATCACCTGCACCAACAGGTTGTTATAGATGAGGCCATTATTGGTTATAAGGGCAGTAAAGGAGGTATCCCATGCGTCTTCATAATTTCCAAACCTAGGTCTAAGGGGTTTAAAGTTTACGTTCTTGCTGATGCAGTATCAAACTATGTAAACTGCATCAGATTTATGACAAGAGGAGCTATACCGAATAGAAGAGGTGACAGTAAGACCCTGGAGTTAGTTGTGGATATGGTCAGTCATATCAGTGGATTCAACCATATTCTATACACGGACAATTATTACACCAGTCCTGAATTGGCAGTGACCCTGCTGAACCAACATCACATGTTTCTTACTGGTAGTGTACGTCCAACAAGGAAGGGAATGCCAACCAGTCTCAGTGCTAATGAAAAAAACAACCCTGCCAGTAAGAAAATAAAAGCCCTGGAAAGGGGGCAGTTTGCCTCAAGGCAGAAGGGAGAAATGGTAGTAATTGTTTGGAAGGATTCCAAACTGTTCACAGTGCTCACAACTTGCAAAGAGGGGTTCAGGATAAATGGAGAGAGAGTGGCGAGACATGTGAAAGACAAAACCACCAAGAAGAGAAATACATACACACTTCCAGCACCAAATGTAATAGATAACTATAATGAATATATGAGTGGCGTTGACAGGGCGAATCAGTTGAGGTCCTACTACACCTCACAACGGCAAACCCACAAGTGGTAGAAGTATATATTTTTCTACTTGTTGGATACAGTCTTGACAAACAGCTGGATCATATTTAAAGAGATAACCAATTCCAAATTGACACACAAGTCATTCCAAGTTCAGATCGGTGTTTCCCTAGTTGGTGGTTTTTCATCACGAAAGAAAGTACTTGTGACTTCCCAGCCTACAATAGACAGCTACAAGGGACACACACTCATTCAAGGCAAAGGGCATGGCCAATGTTGTAGGCTCTGTATACAACTCAAGAGAAGAACAAGATCCGGAGGGTATCGCAAAAGTAGCTACAAGTGTCGTGAATGTGGCATTAGCCTGTGCAGGGACTGTTTTCTGCCCTATCATCACATAGCAACTGGAAAGGCAACATTGTGTAAAGAAACACAGTATGATGCTGGGGACCAGAATGAAGCCAGACAATTATGGCACACCAGCCAACCAAGAGGAAGGGAAAGAGGAAGGGGAAGAGGAAGGGGAAGGGGAAGGGGAAGACAAGCCAGAAAATAAAGAGGAAGACATTGCGTTCTATAGTATAGTTTAGTT